GACGCTCAACCACTGAACCACTCAGGCATCCCAACATGTCTAAGATTTCTGTGTTCATCTGTCTGTGCTTATATTAGGCTGAACATGAGTCCATCCTGATGTCTCCCACTCTACACCCACTTCACATGGCTCCTTCTAGCCGCCCCCCCCGCCCCTATCACTTCCACTCCAACAGTGAGGCCTGGGCTTCCACCATCACCATCCACTGCCTGGTTTATTGGATCCTGGCACACACGTGTGGTGCAGCAGAACTGTTCGCCCACATACCGCCAGGAAAGACTTCACCAACCAGAGCGCAAGGGCATCTGTGAGGCTCCCCTGTCTTCTGTCCTCTGGTTCCCCACTCAGCCCCAGTTTGTCAGGTGACCTTGGGCGGACATCACCTTCAGTGAGGTTGCATCACATGTTCCTAACACACAGGATCTTTGTCACAGTCTGCCTCCCATCCCAGGATCTTCCAACCTCCTCGTTGAGTTTTTAAAAGTCTGCCCCCATTAAGAGTCACTCCTTGTGCCAGAGATTTTGAAATGCCCAGTGGCACAGGGAACAGGTTTGCTGCGCCCCCTCCGCACCCATCCCCTCCAGCCACCTACTTGGCCTTCCTCCCAACCCTGGCAACCACCCATCTGCTTTCCAACTCCCTCTTCTGCATTTTAACTGAACTTGACTTTCTCCGTGGGTTCCTACCCTCTGGCATTTAGCATCTTTGACAAACCTTGTCCTCAAGCGCCTTGGGTTCCTCCCACCCTGGCACCCCAGGTGTCCCCCTTTTAGAGCTAGATTCTGCACTTGTCCTCAGTCTGATGTTATCTCTAGCCACCAAAACTGCTCCTGCCACAGTCACTGATGGCTTCCTGGTTGCTAAACCCAGAGGGCCCTCCACAGCCCTGTGGCCACCTCCTGGTGCAGGAAGCCTGGCCCGCCCTTCTCGCTCTGCACTGTGTCTCAGGGTGACTCACTTCCTCTCCGGCATTACTAAACACCCTCCTGCTGGGGCTCCCACGTGGACACGTCCACCCAGACTTGTTTTCAGTGAGCTCCTCCGGCCTTCCCCTGGACTTCCTGCAAGACATCCTCACAGGTGCCTCCGACATGATGGGACCCACACCAACGATACTAGAAGTCACCACAAAGTAGAGGATGTAAAAACATTTTATTTAAATCCAGAAATTAAAAAAATAAAAATAAAAAAATAAATCCAGAAATTAAAAAAATCAGGGACTTGAGTGGCTCAGTAGTTGAGCGTCTGCTTTCTGCTCAGGGTGTGATTTTGGGGTCCTGGGATGGAGTCCTGCATGGGGATCCGGGCAGGAATCCTGCTCCTCCTTCTGCCTATGTCTCCACCTCTCTGTGTCTCTCATGAATAAATAAATAAAATCTTTTTTTTTAAAGATTTTATTTTATTTATTCATAGAGACAGAGAGAGAGAGAGAGAGAGGCAGAGACACAGGCAGAGGGAGAAGCAGGCACCACACAGAGAGCTTGATGTGGGACTCGATCCCGGGTCTCCAGGATCACGTCCTGGGCTGCAGGCGGCGCTAAACCACTGCGCCACCGGGGCTGCCCAATAAATAAAATCTTAAAAAAAAAAAAAAAAGAAATAAAAATATTTTAAAAGTTAATCAGCTGGCAGGCAGTCTGCTGGCATTCTTTCTCCTACATCTGGCTTCCCCCTCTCTGACCTTGCGCCTCTGTCACCATGTGGGGCGAGCTGCAGTGAGTGGTGGAAGCATTTCTGGAAGCCTTGTCCGTAGACACTTAACATAACAGACTTGGCTATGGTCCATTTAACACACTCCGTGAAACCCAGTTCCCCCTCCCCTTACCAGTCCCCAATCATTGTCACGTACTACCCCTGACAGGAGAACAGTGAGTTGGCAGGGGGAGTCCAAATGGAAAGAAGCAAAATTTTGGGCACCTGGGTGGCTCAGTTGATTAAACATCTGCCTTCCACTCAGGTCATGATCCCAGGGTCCTGGGGTTGAGCCCTGCATGGGGCTCCCTGCTCAGCAAGGAGTCTGCTTTTCCCTCTCCTGCTCCCCCTGCTTGTGCTCACTCTCTAAAATAGATAAATAAAATCTTAAAAAAAAAAAAAAAAAAAGGAGGGACACCTGGGTAGCTCAGCGGTTGAGCATCTGCCTTTGGCTCAGGGCGTGATCCTGGGGTCCTGGGATTGAATCCTGCATCGGGCTCCCTACAGGGAGCCTGCTTCTCCCTCTGCCTATGTCTCTGCCTCTCTCTGTGTGTCTCTCATGAAGAAATAAATAAATAATCTTTAAGAAAAATAAAAGAAAGAAGCAATGTTTACCTGATTGCTGTTGAATATTTCACTTTTGCAAATTTTGCAAAAACATTTGACCGTGAAAGAACTGTTGCTAGGCTCCCGGATGCTTAAGGCACACCTCCCTCTCTGTGTACAGAGGTCCCTTCTCTCTCTGGAAAGAGTTCATGACCCATGCTCTCCTGGTGAGCAGGCCAGACGGTGCCCATGGTTCTCTTAAGGACATTTGTACATTTTCTACTTGTGGTCACAAAAGAAATACAATACTTTACAAACTTGCTTATGTGGACACTCATAGTACCATTATTCATAATAGCCAAACAGCATAAGAAACAAATGTCCATCAACTGATGAACAGATAAACAAAATGTGGTCTCTTCACACAGTATTTCTCAGCATAGAAAGGAACGAAGCACCATCACCGGCTACTATGTGATGAATCTTGAAAGCATTACTGCACATGAAAGAACCTAGACACACAAAAAAACACAGGTTATATGATTCCATTTATATGAAATGTTCAGAATAGGCAAATCCATAGAGGCGAAAAGAAAGTAGATGAGTGGTTGTTGGGAACTGAGGGAGGCAGAATGAGTGGGTAATGCCTAAGGCTCCTTAAGGTAAAAATGCTCTAGAATTGGACCTATCTGTGAATATATCAAAAACATATTGTACATTTTAAGTGGGCAAACTGTATGGTATGTGAATTACAGCTGGATAAAGCTGTCCCTAAAAACCCAAACACAATAAAATCCTCACTGACAGCTTTAAGGCAGTCAGTCTCCATTTGTTTTTTTTATTTTTAATAAAAATAAAAAAAAGATTTTATTTATTCCTGAGAGACACAAAGAGGGAGGCAGAGACATAGGCAGAGGAAGAAGCAGGCTCCCCATGGGGAGCCTGATATGGGACTCCATCCCAGGATCCTGGGATCACGCCCTGAGCTGAAGGCAGAGGCTCAACCACTGAGCCACCCTGATGCCCCAAGGCAGTCTTCATTTAGATTAGTAATCTAATGACAACCAGGAGGTGTCACTGTGTCTGTAAATTCTCAGGCTGTGTCAGTGCTATAGTTACTTTCACGACGACCCCACCTTGGGTGGAACAGCTTTAGATCAGCTCAAGACTAGCTGAAAAGGCCCATGCAAAGGTGCATAAAACCACATCACACTTGACGCTGGTGACGCACATCTGTGAGGTCCTGGAAACTGAGTGAGAATACAAGGGGACAGATTGTGGGGCACCTGGGTGGCTCAGTTGGTTCTGTGTCCAACTCTTGATTTTGGCTCAGGTCATGATTCCAGGGTCTTGAGATAGAGCCCTGTGTCGGGCTCTGTGCTTTAGCAGGGAGTCTGCTGGAGATTCTCTTCCTCTCCCTCTGCCCTTCCCACTTGTGTTCTCTCTCTCAAATAAATCAATCTTTTTCTTTTTTAAAGATTTTATTTATTTATTTATTTATTCATTAGAGACAGACAGAGAGAGAGGCAGAGACACCGGCAGAGGGAAAAGCAGGCTCCATGCAGGGAGCCCAATGTGGGACTCCATCCCAGGTTTCCAGGATCACGCCCTGGGCCAAAGGCAGGTGCTCGACTGCTGAGCCACCCAGGCATCCCTAAATAAATAAATGTTAAGAAAACGGAACAGATTGTGCACAAACCAAAAACAGTCACATGGTTCAGCTTCGGATTGTCATCTCTCTACTCTAAGACAGCAACTTGGGATCATGACCTGGGACAGTTTTGCAAGCGACAGAATTTTCACCCTGTCTGCAGCACCTCGGTGTTGCCCTGCCTCAGAGGGAGGCCACTTTCTGATGCCAGATCAAACCCAGACGCGATTACAGCAGCTGAGTTAGGAAACAGCCACAAAGCAGCCAAAGAGCTCGATTCCAGAAGCTGATCTGAGGGTGAGTGTCTCACACACACAGTGTCAGTCAAAGGCATCCATTCTCGCTGAGGTTGATGGGTCACAGGGGCCTGAGGAGGGAGGCCAGACGGGTTTTCAGAGCAATCACGAAGAGTTCATACCCCCTTGAGTTCCAGCTCTACCTGCAGGCTTTTTGGCCTCACTTGTGATCTCCTGGCACATTCGCAGTGAATCTGGACACTGTGTGGATCTCCTGGGGCCCGGTTCACCCTATCACCAGAGGATGTTTAAATTTTTTTTTAAAGATTTTATTTATTTATTCATGAGAGAGACAGAGAGAAAGAGAGAGAGAGAGAGAGAGAGAGAGAGAGAGAGAGAGAGGAGAGAGGCAGAGAGAGAAGCAGGCTCCATGCAGGGAGCCTGATGTGAGATTCGATCAGAGACTCCAGGATCACGCTCTGAGCCAAAGGCAGACGCTTAACCACTGAGCCACCCGGGCATCCAATCACCAGCGGATGTTGAAGATTTTAGCTTCCCTTTCACCATTAATTCTCCTGGGCGTTAGGCCTTGTGCTGAGTTGAATAGTGGCTCTCCAAAGTACGGGCTTTCACAACCTGTGAACATGACCTAAGCTGGGAAAAGGATCTTTGTGGGTGTAATTAAGGCTCTCTAGATGAGATCACCCTGGATCATCCGGGTGGGCCCTACCTCCAATGACTGGTGCCCTTGTAAAAGAAGAGACATTTGCACAATAGTGCAGAAGGCCACGTGAAGAGGAGGAAGAGGTTGGGGTGGCCCGGCCAGAAGTGAAGGATCACCAGGAGCTGCCAGGAGCTGGAGGATGAGAAGTCTCTGCCATAGACCCTCCAGAGGGAGCAACGTCCTGTGGATACTTGGTTTCTGACTTCCAGCCTCTGTAACTGTGAGAGAATTCATTTCTGTTGTTTTAAGCCACTCAGTTGGTGGTCATTTGTTACAGCGGTCACAGGAAATCAATATGGTCCTTGTACCTGTAACTGATATATGATGTATTTATTTTAAAACAAAACAGCATTTACCACATGCCAGGAGCTATGTAGGTTAAGCATTAACCTACTTACACCATCTAATCCTTGGAATAATCTGCGTGGTGGATGCTAGTATATTCCTATTTGGCCATGGTGAGAGGGAGGTGCAGGCAGGTTGAGTGGCCTGGCCATGGCTGGATCAGGACCTGCGGTGTGATCAGCTCCCCCAGGGCTCCCATCCTTGGCTACATAGTACTCAGGCCCTGCGAATCAAACCCATATACAACCTCTGCCTGGCCTGTCCCTGAGATCTGAGGTTCCTTGCACCAATGAGCCCTGCAGGGACCTGAGGGGCCGTGGAGGGGGGGGAGGTTAAAGGGTTAAGCCCAAGCCTTAAGTGCCAGGCCTAGAAATGACCCTGGGAGTCTCCTGCTGCCCTGCCCTAAAGGACCTCTCCTTCAGTAGCTCCTCCTGCCCCTGCCAGCCTCTGAGGTTGAAAACCTCTAGGAGAAAAATGATCAGTCCAGCAAGGAATGAGAGGTTGGAGCCCTGGACACCATTCTCTCCTTGTACGAGTGCAACACTGAGTCTTGCCCAGAAGGCGAGATGCTCGTTGGCCCATGTATTTGTCCTGCTGCGTGTAAGCAGGAGTGACTACAAGATACTGAAGGCTTGGCAGGGCAAGACAGGGCCCAGTCACAAGGGACAGTGTGCACAGGGAGGGAGTGGGATCATGAGACTCTGCTCTGTGGATGGAGATGTTTGTCCCTGCACAGAGTTCCCAGCTTCTGAGGACAGATGGCTCTTAGAAGCCTGTCCAGGTACATGCATCCTTCATCTCTCATCCTTGCACCTGGAAGAAAGCCATATTGGTTATTAAAAAACATTTAAAAATAGAGTAAACAAGTGCAGGTCCTGGGCCGCAGGGCTTGCAGGGACACCCATTCAAGGCAAGTAACTTTAGCTCTGTGACCTTTCCCACGCTGGCCAGGAACTTGTCTGACTGTCAGGCCAGAATGAGCGCACGCATGAAAGTCAGTGGTCAGAGCTCCCTCCTCCCCTTGCGGCCCACAGCTGCTAGCTGACGCCAGAGGGGCGGGCTGGGCCTGGTGGGACAGACTGTGGGCACTGGCTGCTCCAGGCTGAGGTGCAAAGCCATCCTGCGCAAGACCTGCCTGCCACCGCACTCCTGGATAGGACTGGCTTGTTTGTTTGAAACTGTGCCAAGTTTTGTCTTTTCTTTTTTCTTTTTCTAGAGAGGATCTGAATGTGAGCAGAGTCAGGTAAACCCAGAATCAAATCACTAGATCAATACTTGCTCACCACTCACTGTCAAGGCCTCAAAGGTTCAAATGTATCCTTTGTCTTCCACTTGTCCCCTGGGCAGGAATCCCATCCTGGTTCCCAAGAGCATCTGCTTAGAATTTTTCCTGGATTGTGTCCTTCTCAGAGAGGGACATCTAAGAGCTTCAGTGTTATTTACCAAGTAGACTGAAGTTCCCAGGGAGAGGGCCTCCAGAATGTGCACTGAATGCCTCAGGGAAGTGTAATGACTTCCATGGGCCATGGGTGCTTTTGCTTTCGCGGGTCTTTTTCCCACAAAGAGATCATTAAAAGTTATATTTTAGTACCAGGTCAGTACACAGACAAACATCATTCAGGCTGGATTTGTTATTATGTATTTATTAGTAACATAATCCTTTTCTTCCCCCTGATTTTATAAAGTAGTTAAAATATTCTTGTGAGCTCCAACAAGTATCAAGGTGTAGTGTCTCCTGGGCCTGAAGGTGGCATCTGCCCTGGTCCTGCTGGTCCACCAGTTTCAGTCGCTAAGGGTCACAGGTGATTGAGGCTCACTGAGCTAGCTAAGCGATTTACATGCATGCACACTTCTTTTTTTAAAAAATATTTTATTTATTTATTCATGAGAGACACAGAGAGAAAGACAAAGACATAGGCAGAGGGAGAAGCAGGCTCCTCTCAGGCAGCCCAATGTGGCACTCAATCCCTGGACCTGGGACCACTCCCTGAGCTGAAGGCAGATGCTCAACTGCTGAGCCACCCAGGTGCCCCTACATGCAAACTCCTATTTCGTTGCTACAACAGGCCCATGGGGTGGGTGCGTTTGCTACCCTGCATCCCACGGATGTGGAAACTGAGAAATCACCAACTTGTCCGAGGTCCAAACCCACGGCCAGCCACACTCCACAAGTCTTGCTCTTCACCTCTATGCTAGATGCCTCTTTACCCATATCTGGCTTGGAAAAGTTGACGTGCCCACAGTTCATTGCAAAAGCCACACCCAGCTGCCTAGAAGCCTCTGTTAATCAGTAGCCACTTGCACCTGGCCTAGCAGGCACCCCCAGGAACAGTAAGTATAGAGTGAAGGGAACAGTGGGGCTGCATCTGCCTCTGCAGCAGGCTCTCCCCTCCCACCCTCTTCTCTCATCTTTGCCAGCCCAGTGTCCTCAGTGGGGTTCCATGAGCAAGGCAGCTGGCTCTCTCCAGTCTCAGCTACCTCAGGCCCAGGGCCATTACCCTATGAGAATTAGCAAAAGGCATCCCTTCCTCTAGACCCCTGATTGTCAGGAAATTGATGCAATAAACATATAAATCTAGGATGTCCAGCATGTTCATGATGTGAACAGCACTGTCTTTGATGTGTGCTGTGCATAACCTGCCCACCCATACTGGGTGATCCTGTTTAGCCCCCAAAGTGCCCCAGGGCCATTGCCTGCTTTCAGGAGTCTCTGATCTCTCTCTCTTCTAAAAAATGTTTATTTAAATTCAATTTGCCAACATATAGTAATACACTCAGTGCTCATCCCTTCAAGTACCCTCCTTAGTGCCCATCACCCAGTTACCCCATCCCTCCATGCACCTCCCTTTCCACAACCCTTTGTTTCCCAGAGTTAGGAGTCTCTCAAGGTTTGTCTCCCTCTCTAATTTTTCCTCACTCAGTTTCCCTCCTTTCCCCTATAATCTCTTTCACTATTGCTTATTTTCCACGTATGAGTGAAACCGTATAATAGTTGTCCTTCTCCAACTGACTTATTTCACTCAGCATAATACCCTCCAGTTCCATAGGAGTCTGTGATCTTAATGATGATAGGCCGGTTCTGGGAGAAGACTGGTGACTGAAGTGTTTACTGCAGAAAGACAGAGGACCGTGGGAAAGTGACATGGTGGCCACATAGAGACACTGGGGATTGGTACTACACTATCCCAGGGAGTTGTACTTGGGGTTGGGACCATCTAGCATAGTGTACCCTGGAGGTGAGGCCTGAAGCTTGCACCAAGTGCTACAAAAGCAAAGACAAAGGGGCAATTAGTTCTGCTGGGGCAGAACGGACAGCTAACAAAGGTTTCCTGGAAGAGGGGACATTTGAGCTGGGCTTTGCAGGATGAATAAAAGTTTGCAGGGGTAAGAATCCAGGAAGAACATTTAAAAAAGGAGTGTAGAGGGCAACCCGGGTGACTCAGCATTTTAGAGCTGCCTTCAGCCCAGGGTGGGATCCTGGAAACCCGGGATCGAGTCCCACGTCAGGCTCCCTGCATGGAGCCTGCTTCTCCCTCTGCCTGTCTCTCTCTCTCTCTCTGTCTGTCTCTCATGCATAAATTAATAAAATCTTAAAAAAAAAAAAAGGAGTGTAGAAAGGAGGGAGCAGAGAAGCTGGAGACTGCAGAACTATCCAAGGCTCCTGTGACGCCCCTGCTCTGGCACCCATCCCCCCAGTGTTACAGTGGTTTATTTACTTGCATCTCTGTCCCCTTGCACTGTCTGCTCCTGAGGACAGGGACTGGGTCTATTTGCCTTGTATCTCAGAACTGGGTTAAGGTCTCACACAAAGGGGCTCTCAATACATCTTTGCAGGGTGAATGCATCATCACCTGTTGATTTGTTGTAGCCAGATTTTTAGAGGCTGAAAGTTGGAGTAAGGAGGTAAGAGGAAGCAAGGCTGAAAAGGCAGCTGGAGACATTGTGTGGGTCTGGGGGCTCTGCCACCAATCCTGGGTTCACCATTTAGGGGAGTAGAGTCAGCAGAAGGGTGATCCAGACTTGCTCTTTTTCTGTTGCATAAGGTTTAGGGCGACCCCCCATTTCAAGGGGGCAGAGCCTGAGGGTAGAGCCCTGAGATAGCAAAGGAGAAAGGAGGAAAGTGTTGAGATTGTGGGCTTCCGGCCTCATCTACCTGTGCTGAAATGATGGAAACAGTCCCACTGAGGGAAAGAGGGAGTTCTCCAAATTTGAAGTGAGTCAGGAAAAGCATCACATTCTCCTGGGTCAATTTCAATGGAGTGGGTGGGAGTGGCATAGGGCGTATGGGACCCATAACCTGTCACAGGGCAGGTACATGAAATTATTCACTCATGATCAAGTGGCATTTATCCCCAGTACAAGGCTGGTTCAACAGTCAAAAACCAATGAATGTAGGGACGCCTGGGTGGCTCAGTGGTTGAGCATCTACCTTCGGCTCAGGGCGTGATCCTGGGGTCTGGGGCTGGGTCCCACATCAGGCTTCTTGTGGGGGAGCCTGCTTCTCCCTCTGCCTATGTCTCTGCCTCTCTGTGTGTGTGTCTCTCATGAATAAATAAATAAATCTAAAAAAAAAAAAGAAAAGAAAAGAAAAGGAAAACAGGTTGGCAGTTTCTTACGATACTAAACATATTCTTACCAAGTGACCCAGCAATTGCACTCCTTGCCCACACAATGTCTCACAGAAACCTACACACAAATGTTCATGGCACCTCTATTCATAATTGCCAAACCTTGGGAGCTACCAAGATGTCCTTCAGTAGGTGAATGGAAAAATAAATTTTAGACATTTAGACAATGGGATATTCTCAGGGTTAAAAAGAAATGAGAGATCAAGCCCTGAAAAGACACAGAGGAGACTTAAATGCATATAACTAA